AAAAATTCTGGTGGGACCGTACGTGGGTACCACGCGAGCAAGAGCGTCCATTTTGAGATGGGACCCACACAAGCATGCAGATTAGGTTCCTAAACTTTCAGCCCTGCAGCTTTTGTAGGATTCAAGATGAAAAATCGGTATAGACGAACACACACACACACACGCAGACAACCTCTCGTCAATATGCGTTTCTTGCATTGCATAGATGCAAAAAACGCATAAAAAGCTACAAACTCACTACATTGTTTGTGGGAGAGGAAGAGAGTTCGCTGACCGCAGACTGAACGTCACTTTCTGCATCCAGATAAAGTGCGTCCTCACCAATCGAAACCACCTGACATGCTTCTTCTACCGAATTTGTGTCTTCTGAAAATAACCCCCTTCAGTGCTAAATTATCAAATGCGATGAATATTGAAAATAATAAATATCAGTATCACACTGTACTGGATGCAGCCTAGAACATCGACAATGTGGCACTACAGCAGCAGAACAAGGACTCTTCTAAAGTTTACAAAAGCACCTGACCCATTCAGGACGGCCATAGTGCCCTCTCAAGATACGTGCTGCAAGACTTGATGACAGAAATAACACAGCGGATTCATAACAGCTATGTCCGACTCTTCCAGAACATTCGTACGTTATAAATTCATTTCATTTCATTGCTGCATACCTGCGGCTTTTTTGTTCTTATGTGACGAGACCAATTTGCGCCCTTTGCTCTTCGCTTTATCGAGTATTGCACTTAACCGAGATGATTTTTCAGCCCGAACTGTCGCTGATTCATTGGAGCCGACTGAATCGCGATCACTGGTCGCATGCAAATCACGCTGAAACAACCCACTTCAGGACGCCTCCTGGGAAAAGAAGCAATACTGTTGCGGCAGTATTTCGAGTTGTTGCTGCAGTTATTTTCTGAAATTTAAAACGGCAGCTCGCGATAGGCAAATAGCTTCTACCTCTACCTCAGCCTCATCTTAAAATACAATAAAACAGAAATAACCGGTAGAGGAACAGGGCTTGCTCGAGTTTTCCTTTCTGCGCCAGAAATTTTTACACTACGATTATCATTCTCCGTAGCAAACGAGGCGATCGAGTCGCTGTCACAGTCACTTGATTCAAGCTAAAAATATTCATTAATCATGATCGAGTTAAAAACACGTGTTCCGAAGCGCTGTCATGCTCACATCATGAAAGAAACTCAAACATCAAAACTTGAAGAGCATGACAAATGGGGAAAAAATCTTGAGGGCAAAACTGGCAGCCGATGGCGGCTTCATCACAAAAGGTGTACGTGTCGGGAGGCTTTCAGTTTCGATTCGGAATACTTCTGGGATAAATAAATTACAAACAGAACAGAGCAAAAAAATTCGAGAAAAATATACTTTGGGAGTAGCGGATGATGTTGTAGGATGCATTGCTCCGCCGAGGATTCTTGAAATAGCCTTCTTCTGGAAACTGTTCTTTTTCCAGGCCTGCAATTTCGACTAACAGACATTTGTTTCTTTAGACAGCGTGCGTGCAAGTCAAGAGGCTAAGCACACCACCGAAAGGAATCGGTACAGATTGCCAGTTGTGATGTCTCTCCGTATTACTCCCCATAAGACGAGGAAGCACCCGGAACTAACCAAATTTGCAGCACGTGCCAACAGCAGTCACCCGCAGTCAAGACTATCCAGCCCCTCCCCTTCCTCTTCCTCCCGCCCCTCCTTCATCAGCTGTTTAGAAGCTTGATTGGTTGACATATGCCAGTACCGGTTTAACACTGGAACGAATCAGAGAGAGGCTGGTTGTGACAGTGTCGGTATAGAACCCTCGAAGTTCAGCATCAGAGCAGCGTAACGTGCCGGAATGGCGTGCACGCCAGCGCAGGAATGCTTCGAATAAAAAATTAATTGTACGGAACAATCAAACAGATAAATTAACATCAGTGCAGCTTGCAGTGCATTTAACTAATTGAAAGATCAACTAAAATATATCATCTTCACAAGTGAAAACAAAAGCAGTAAACAGCAGCCCAGCGGTGCACTGTGAATGGCAGCGAAGGAGGGAAAGCTGCGAACGAAGGAAAGAGGGGCACGCATGCAGATAAGTGCCTCTGTCTGGATGAGCGGAAGCAATTTTTGCCGATGCAGCGAGTGATTTGCGAGGAACAACACCACTAAACGAAGCTATTAAACGAGACGAGGAAACTGCATATTGCCTCGAGCAAAAACAAAAGAAAAAGGCATGGATCACGGAAAGCTGCAAATATAGTACATGAAAATGCGCATTTTATACCCTTTCCCCTTCTCACTCGCCTTCCGCTCTCCTCCTCCTCATCCCTTCCCTCCCGGACAGCAAAGAATGCTCCTCTTCCAAACACTGTTAATGCACATCTATACACGTCCTACATTAAGTGCTGCTGGAATATTCCGCAAATCCTCGATGGAGGTATTTGTGGTCGTATAATGCACCACTTCAACGTGGGACATTTCCCGCATACCTAAGGCCAACTATGGTTAAGCAAAGAGACCTCCTCCCTTCCCACGTTTCGCTGGGCAGAGAAAGCAAAACGTGCAATGAATACGCAACCTAATAAACAGCACACATCCCTGCTGTTTGCGTAGTAAAAAGCTGATATTTTTGAACAAAGATCGTCCTCACTAGCAGCGAGAGCAGGAGTGCGGGAAGGAGGAGAATGGGTGAGGCTACGTAAACAACATATTACTACGCATATACATAAACACACACACACAATATTTGTAGTGATAAGAGGTGGTGCGTGTAATGCGTAAAAAAGTTGGCTTAG